TGGTGCTTAGTCGGGAATGGGGGAATGGATTATAGGGACTACTATAAGGGACCTTAAGGGACTATCATAGGGATCCATTCCCCCATTCCCTACTAAGCACCAGACAGTAGTCTCCATTGTAGTTCCTTTTTGGCGATACCTTATAAAAATCCTTAGTATATATTTGGTTAAAACCAAAAAAGGGAACTGCAATAGAGACTATAGGTGCATCCCAACCGTTCTACCCCGCCTGGGGTCCACCAACCTCCAAATCATCATCATCTCGAGATGTCAGGTCTAAGCTTTCAGGTTTCCATGATATGTAGTTGTACATATGACATATGACATATAGATTATATATATATATATAGAGAGAGAGAGAGTTCTGTGTATATATATAGACGTATTCTTTGGGCAGTTTCGGGTTGGGGGATCCTGAGGAATCTTGGGACATCAGGATCTAGGTTTACAGGGCTTACGGTTTATAAGTTTAGGGCTTATAGCGTTTAGGATTAGGGTTTAGGGATTAGGGTATGGCCGTATGCAGGCGGACTCCATGCTGTCATGCAGACTTTTTCCGGTGACTAGTTGTCTGCAGTGCCGGCTTTCTCCTATGCCCGAGTGCTGCGTATCCCCACGCCGATTCTGCTTGCAGCTTGTTGAGATTGTACATGTGTTGTTCATGCTCTTAGTGCAGAGTCTTATTATTCTTGTGCAACACCGGCAAGGCAACATGGGGGGTGTCAAATCTCAGACAGCCAGGGGCTCCCCACATAAAGGTGCCTAGAGTTTAATGAGAATCCTACGACTAGCTTAGGTCGAAAGTATAGGGTTCCTTATTTTCTGAAAACCCTAAACCCCAAACCCTAAACCCTATAAGCCCTATTCTCTGAGACTCCCGCATGAAGCGCAAGCGCTTGCGCCCATACAACTGGTCGGCCAAGCTGCACGTCTGGAGAGCCTCAGGCGAGGAGCTCGTCGCCCTCCCTGTGACTCGGATTCAGCGATAAGACGTTCAGGGTGTAATCTAGGGGCCTGAATAATTTACTATACTATTTTGGGGGTTCCTTATTATAGTTGTAGTATAGTGGGCCCCCAAAACCCTATTCTAATTATTAAGGCCCCTATATTAAGGGTCAGGAATGGTCAGGATCCTCGTGCTTCCGGCTGTCGGGAATTGGTCTGGTGCTGGGCACATGGCTAGGCTTTGTTGCGGCTGAACCCTGCTTTCGAAATCCGAACTGCTTCTATAGATGCGCATCTCAATCAGAACCGCAATGCCATGTGAGGTGAGAGAGTTGGATGATGTGCGAGCCTTGAAGACGCACCTGCAGCAGATTTGTGGCACGCCAAGATTCCAGCAAAGACTCTTACATGGTAGCGCCTGCCTGGATGATGCCGACACTCAGCCGCCCTGCAGTCAACGCCTTGCGAGGTGAGCGATCCCGCTAAGCAAAACAAGTTCGTAATATAGGGTCCAAAATAATTGCCGATGCTACTTTTTTGGGTTGGGTTCTTATTATGACTATGGTATGCTCTACCCCAAAACCCTATTATATACGTCTTCCCCATTCGCTCGCAAGAGCTCACCCGATCCTCGGAGCCTGGTATCGAGCCCAAGCCGGCTTTCTGGCTAGGACTAGGCCGACCATAGGATTTCAGGGAGTACCTGGTAGCTGCAAAGCCAAGGACAGACTGGTTGAGCCCATTGACATACAGCTGGTACTGCTTCCTCTCTGCACGGCCTCAAAGGCCGAAGAGGCCGAGCTCTTCACCGCAGCTCGAGAAGGCAAGGCCCAGGAGGTGGAAGCCATATTGAATCGACCACAGAACCCGGACTTGCAACTGGCCAATCGTTGGGAAGTTGGACCTCTCCACATAGCAGCCCGAAGGAATCACGTTGACGTGCTCCATCTCTTGCTCGAAGCTCGTGCTGACATAGACGGTTTCTGTGGAGATGAGACTTCTTTGGCTATGGCCTCGGCGGCAGGCCATGTCGAAGCCACGCACGTTTTGTCAGAGGCTGGGGCGAAGCTCGACAAAGGGAGAAACGGCATGACGCCGCTGCGATTGAGTATCGAGCGGGGGCATGTAGAGGTTGTGCGAGTGCTCCTGGTAGCCCGGGCTAATTCAAGCAAAGTCGCCAACGGCGAGACGCCTCTGATCCAGGCATCTCGCTTAGGTGAGGAGAAAATCGTTAGCCTGCTGCTCGAGAGCAGGGCCCACATGAAGAAGTCCAACTGCTACCATCAGCCTTTAATGTCGCCTCTCGGCTGGGCATGTCAGCTTCCACATACGCAGATTGCACGGATGTTGCTAGAAGCAGGCCTGAACAAGGATGATGTGTGCACGCTCGACCAGCAGACGCCTCTTGGGGTGGCGGCCAATTTGGGCCACGTGCAGATCGTGCGAGTTCTACTGGAATCCGGTGCCGACAAGGAGAAGGTTTGCGACAGGGCCGGCAGAACCCCTTTTGTTGTTGCCTTGGTGCAAGGCCATGTCCAGGTGGTGCGCTTACTTCTGGAGGCCAATGTTGACCAAGACAAAGGATGTGGAGACTTCTGCGGTGCCACGCCTCTCGGCGTGGCCTGCCGGCTGGGCCACGTGGAGACGGCACGTGTGCTTCTGAAGTTTCACGCGGAGAAAGAGCAGGCATGCGGCTATCAAGGCTTGACGCCTTTGGCCTTAACATGCAGATTCGGACATGCAGAGGTGGCACGAGTGCTCCTGGAGTTTAGTGCAGAAACAGAGCGCCTGTCTGGACATAACTCTGAGACGCCGCTCGTCCTGGCATGCAAGCATCGTCAAGCAGAGGTTGCACGTGTGCTGTTGGATGCGGGGGCCGACAAGAGCTTTCCTTGCGGCCCTCGCCGAATAACACCTCTATTAGCAGCTTCAGACGAAGGTAATGTGGAGTGCGTGCGCCTGCTACTCCACGCCAGAGCCAACAGCCACAGTGCTTGTAGAGAGGATGGGGAGACACCTTTGAGTGTGGCGACCATCAGAGGTTACGAAAATATCGTGTTCCTTCTGCAGCAGGCGCACTCCGATTGATGCAACAATGCCTTTCAGAGTGCCATTGTACGTCAGCTGCATCTGTGAAAACGAATTCGCACTTGCGCACGGCTGCAAAAAGATGGGCGAGCAGTGGTCCATTTGTCAGTTTTAGATACATCGTGAGATGCTTGCCCGTCCTGTAAACCTCAGGGTGCACGAAGTTAAAGTCTCAACCCTACACCCCAAACCAATATATATATATATATATATCACATTCAAGAAGCTTTAGATCCTACGCTCAATTGTCGTTTCCTCCTTTATGAATCGGTCGGTCTTTCCTGTGTCTTCGGCTCTCATCGAGCTTCCGGTTGAGAAGAAAGCGTATCAAGACATGTTAAAGCCCCCTTTGGGCCTACAACTTTTCGGAGTGCAGGGCTTTCCATGTGCAACCGAATCAGCCTCTGGTTCATCTGTTGGCGCTTGAGTTTAAATCCAAAACTCTTTTCTCATTTTTCTGAGTAGGATAATTTAGGGGCAATTGGGCTTGAAGCCTGAATCCTGACCACTTGATTGAAGCTTGGAGTCTTAGCAGATTCCGACACTAGAAACTGCCAAAACCTGAATGGACAAGAACTGGTCTGTGTGTTGTGCCGTTTCTTTTTCTCTGCAGCAACAAGACCTAAACCCTAAACCCATTATCCCAAGCATGACGGTTGTTTCGCAAGCCCTGGGACCCACAAGCCCCAAAACCTTGGATGACCTAAGTATTACCTGGAGCCTAAAGGACCTACCTTTTTAGGGCTCCTTATTATGATTTCTTTATACAAGTCCGTAAAAAGATAGGTTATTTGGGGTTAAGGTAAATTAGGATTCAGCCAAGTGCCCAGCAGCTGCGCAACCATGGCACCTATGCAGAAAACTTGCCCGGAGTACTCCTCAAGCCCTCAGGCCCAGTGCGCGTTTCTTTCACGATCTTTCAGGGGGTGCCTGTTGGACGCAGACCCTTGACTACAGCAGCCAGATGATTAGACTGCCGTCCTTTATGACTATCCCATTATATATATATATATATACACACACACACATATATATATATATATATACTCCACTCAGGTCATGGCCATGGCAAGCAAGCCTCCCTTGCCGCGAGTCAGTTTCACTGCATGTCACGTCTCCATCGCCTTCTTCTCACCGGTGCAATTCCGTTACCAGCCAGTCTCTGACCTGAAGATCTAGTTTAGGCGGTTGGAACCGAGAGCGCACCTTCAAGCTAGTTCCTGTGAAGCCTTCGAAAGCCCTTCCCCTGGGGGCCGTTTTCCTGGGCGGCTGGGAGTAGGTTGCTATAATGCTCGAGGTTACTTCAATTTCTTGGGTTGCGATAGGTCGCATTTTCAAAGAGTCATCTTTGTGCTTACCTTCGAAGGGGAAGGGCGATTGGGTCGCAGGATTCATGGGGTTCCTGTAAGTCACTGCAAGTGCGACGATGAGTGTAAGGGCGCCTTTAAGGGATACTCTCAGGGGCTTGATTCTCTGGGTGATCTCATACGTCTTCCTAAGATAAGGGATGCTATGGTTCTACAAGGCTTTCTTGCGGGTTTCGGATCCGAAGGTACTTTTGGCTTATAAGGAGTAGCTACTGGGCTGAGTGGCTCCTGGCATGTGCAGGGCAGTAAATTGGCGCTTCTCATATTGGGCTATGGCCCCCTGTCTTCCTGGCTGAAGTAACACGAAGGTGCGCCACACCAACTTCTCCGGGAGGAATGTCTGCAGTCATTTTCAACTCAACAGACGAAGAAGTTCTCCCTTGGCAGACCTCTTTCCGTGCAAAAAGCACAGCAGCATCGGTTCTCGATGACTCTTTGCTAGAAGTACTTCAGCAGTTTCACATGAAGCTGTCAAGTCTGAGCCTCGGGAACAAAGGTGTTCTGTCCCGTGCTGCCTTCAAGTTCGTGCTGAGGAGTTTTGAAGCGAAGGCTTGAGGGCTCATCTTGTTGACGAGCCGGTAAGGACCCGACAACCCGGAAGAAAATCCCTTGCCTTGCCATCCGTCTGCCCTAGACTCCTAGACTCCTAGACCCCGATCGAGCCGATAAGCCGAATCCGATGGAGTCAGAAAGCCGAACCAGTGGGAGGAACTAAAAGTACTTGTCCGTGTATGTACCGCGAAGGGCTTATGGCAGGTCAGGGCGCTGGGAGTTGATGAACCGGGAGGGAGAAACCCAAACCCCTGCTGTACGTCTGACCAGATCACATATCGAAGCATGACTGGCAGTCCAGTTTGGTGTTGTTTGGTTTTGGGTGCTGTTTCAAGTTGGTGGAGGTCATAGGGTGTTGGAAGGTAGGGATTTCCCTCTATGAAACCAATCGCACAGATGACCTGCACACCACCTCCCCTAAACCCTAAACCCTAAACCCTAAACCCTTCATGACAAGGCTCTCGAACCTGCTTCTTTGCCCCCGGATGGCAGCGGCCGGGAGCCTCGTCTTTTGTGCATTTCCAGACGATTGCAGGAGATCCATGGGTTTAGGGTTTAGGGTTTAGGGATGGTCTCGTTTAGGCCTTTGGGCTCAATTTGGCGGCTGTGGATACTGCAGAGATAGATCGGCATGTTGACCTGCAAGTATCAAAGCGGTTCATGAAAGCGAGCACATGTCCACCAGCCTTGTCTTCCGGATTAGAGCTGGAGGATTTGCATGCTCTGTCTCTCTCGTTTTTAGGGCGTGTGCCTGTATGCTCAGTTTCTGTAAGTATGTTTCTTAGCAGCTTGTACGTTCCAGCCGTCACCACTCATGAAAACCTCCAACCCATAAGTTACATGCATGCATGCATGCATGCATGCATGCATGCATGCATGCATACATACATACATACATACATACATACATACATACATACAGCTACATACATACATGTCTATGTGCGACCTCACCGGCCACGCAGCGGTAAGTCACCTAGACTTGCTTTGATGCGGGTCCAGAAATCTGGCGGCTCTGCAGCAGCCCGGACAACACGAACAAAGGGGTGATTCTCTAAATTAGGGTCCCTTTGGGGGTCCTTTTTATAAGGGTGCCGTACTATTTCGGGGACCGAAAGAGGGACCCTCATTTAGAAAACTACCCATATCTACTGCCACAGTTTTCCAGGTTCGCAGCGTCCATCTCCTGCGGTGCTCGCAGCCAAGTCCCCCGGGTCAGGGGGGAGCAGGAAGGTCAAGCCACGCCAAGCTAGGATGGGTTCTACTAGCCTGGTAGGGAGAATTTGATGTGATTTGCTCGTTCTGAGCCATGCTACTGCTGTTACACTAGTCTCCCAAGCCCTGGCAGCTGCAAGCATAGAGCGAAATCAGGGATGGTCACCAGAAATCTTGCTTGGGGCTGGCTGAATAAAGACTTTATGTGATCTTCATGGTTTATTTGTGGCAGCAATTTGGGCGCCATTGGTAGCACTGCTCCAGGTACCGCCAGCACGTCAGAGCTATGCTGGCTGAATTCTTGGAGTTGGCTGACAATGAGACGGGTTAAATCTGGACTCTTTACTGTGCACCGACTGCCAGCTCCGTATCAGAAGAGAAAAAGCGGACGACTATCCTGAATCCGCAATCTGCATTGATCACATGCCATATTTAATAAACATCCTTCGACACCTTTGGACCCAGAAGCTAAGCTAAAACCCGGCTGTTCTTTTTGCATCGACGAAAGACACCCTAAGAACCTCGTCTGGCTTGTCCACGCGTACGTGTGACTAAACCCCAAACCCTAAACTAAGCCCTAAACCCTAAACACGACGCCGAGACCCTAAACTGTGGACCGTCACTTCCAGATGTGCGAGACCCGGAGATTCCCCAAAGCATGTGCCGACCGTCGCCGGCCCAACAAGGTGAAGAGTAGTTTGTTTTTGACATGGGCCGTGGTTTACTTGAAGGCATTGATTGGAATGCGCATGCTAGTGACTCATACTAGATCTTTGGCCTACTCGTATGTTTAGACACACATACACGTCTTGCTTTGCACATATGTACGTGGATAATGGCTGGCCTAGGTCAAGCATGACTGGTTTTGGTTTCGTTTTCTTCAAGGGCGGGCACCCCTTTTGCAACACTGCTCCGCCTAGCTCAATTTTCTAAATCCCAAACCCCTCGCCGCCTTTCCCTCCGAACTTTGTCGGGCTCAGTTGCGCAGCCATGGAGGGTGCAATCATTGCAGAGTTCAGCAGCCTCAATGCTCTGAACCAGCAGGCCTGCTGCATTGCTCCTGCGGTCGTGTTAGTCTGACTAGCTCCTGCATTGTCTTCAGCGTAGATACCCGTAGAAGTTATAGGGTGACTGCCTGAAATCTTGGGGGGACGACTGCAGTCACTGCAGCACTTGCGCAGAAAGCGGTTCGTACTCTGCACGGGCAATAATTTATCCGTATTGTTGACCGAGCAAAGTGCCAGAATGGCTATGTGCATATGCCCTCGGCACGGTATCATGCAGTGCACAGGCGGTAGGCTTAGAGTACTTTCATTCTGCAAGCACGGCATGCTGCCCACATGTCCACAGAGCTGTTGCGAGTTGCAAGCAAGCTCATACGACAAACTGCAGAGACGAGACGTTCTCTTGGGTAATATGCCGCTGGCCGGTGTTGGGGGTGTTCCTACTGCGTGAACCATGGGATGGATTTGCAAGACTACTTTCAGGTTGCCAGTCAGTTTCTTGTTTTGTAAGCACAAGCGATATTCCCAAACGGGTGCTTGCATTGCATATCCGAAGTCCATAATATTTGTTTGTGCAATCGTCGATTGTCGCGTTCTCATCTGACCCAGGCACCGCAGGCGAGAGGTCTCGGGCCAGCCAATGCGCAGGGCGTGGAGCCTGAGAGAGCGGATGGGTGCAGGGAGACTTCGGGCTTTGAATTCAACACCGCTTGGGCTCAGAGTCCCTGTGGTGTTGAGGAATTCCGGCCCCGAAAGAACAAGAACGGTTGACTGAGCGGTGATGTATGTATGGTCTCCGATGGACACGGCTACAATTTCCTCGAGGTCTTGCCAGCCAGTTGTGCGAAGTTATATGACTACATAGAGGCCTCGGTACTTACCAATATTTTGCTTGAGTTCCTTCTTGTCCGCATAGAAGAAATGTCCACCAAAGCCCGAGTCCAAGTATTAAATGAAGGCCGCTACATAGTCTGCGTACTGAGATTGGCTTTCACACATTTCAGCGTATGCAGTGCTGCAACGTAGCCGCGGATTCCTAAACTATGTTCTGAAAACAGAAAGACGAGAGACCAGTTAGAGAAGGGCGAAACGTCTAAAGCAAAACCTACACGACTTCAAGCATAGGCTTAGCTCTTCCCAGAAAACGCCTCACAGTCCTGCCCGAGACTCCCAGTACGTGGTCTAAGCTGCTTGTGGTATAGCTGCAAACTCCAAATCGAGACTCCACATTGCTAGCATTGCTTTAAGTCCGCGGGCCGCTAGAAGGTGGACCCGAAACCCCACCCTAACCCCCCCAGGTACCTAGTATATAGGGCCCTAGGGGCTCTAGCACCCCAAATAGTAGGCCCCTGGGGGGGTTTGGGCCAAACAGCCTCAAACAGCCACCTCTTGAAACAAACCTTCCGTACCGAGGCAAAAGAGGCCCTCCAGAAGGCAACCTCACCGAAAGGCTGCGGGTTCTTTTTTTTTGGCAGCCCCTCCCCCAAAAAGGGATGCTTTAGGGTTTCGGATTTGGGGTTTTATTGTTATGTTATTGCTTTGGGTTTCGGGTTTCGGATTTTATTGCTGTGTTTTGTCACTGGCTTTGCGGAAGGGCCTTTGAGATACAAGACCTCGGCTTCAGCCTTCGCCGGGCTTCCGTCTCGATCCTGCTGTCCTTACATCAAGGTGGGGATGGGGCCATGATTAAGAGGAGACTATTTCTCAACATTATATATATATATATATACATATACATATATATATATAGATGTACAGGGACAGTAGTAGTCTGCAAGGGGGGCTATGGTTTCAACGTCAATCCTAGTTGGAATCCTCAGTACTGTCAGGGTACTGACGGGTCATTGGAGTCTGTCTCTTTCAGAATTCTCGGGGTCAGCTCAAAGCCGTTCAGGGGAACAGACCGACGACACCACGAAGAGGGCGTTGCAGCCGCGGCCTTGTCTGTCGAATCTTACGAGATTCTACATGGGTTTAGCGGTTTGGGGCTCTTCTCTATTATTCGACAGAGAGTCCAGCAGTTGTCTTCGGCTTCCATTTCGCATCTTCCAATTATCTTCGGTATGCTGCGTGAGGGAAGGTTCTGCAGGCAGAGGCAACCAGGATGGCCAGCGCAGCAGGTCGTCGAAATGGCAGTACGAAATTGGCATTCTACAAACTGCAGCTATCCTTCGTCCCCAGTGTATAGACCCTATACTCCGAACAGGGTCGAGAGCCAGGCTGCCTGAAATTGGCAAAGTCCTCCTTTGGCCCAGATCCCCCCAGGCACCGAGACACTGATCAAAAAAGCTTCACTGCTAATATAGCGGCGTTAATAATGAACTATCGTATTTTTTTTGGGGGGGGGGTCCTTATTATCATCATAGTATAACCCAAGCCCTAGTCTAATTATTAAGCCCCCGACACTATCTATCTGCTGCATTGAGGTTGGATCCCAAACACACCGAGAGCGGCTCCTGAGGCTCTTGGGGTCGGTTTAGGGCCCCTTGACGCCCTTTGGGCCCTTTAGGCTTAGGATATTAGGTCTTAGGGTTTAGGGTTTTAGGGGTTTAGGGGTTTAGGGTTTAGGGTTTAGGGTTATCCCTAAGGGTCCATGTACCCAAAAAGTAGATACTTTGGCTTTAAAGTAGTCCCTATATTGATACCTTGGGGCCAATGTATATACTATATGAGTACATGGACCCTTTGGGCCCTTTAGGCTTTTAAGCCCAGGGATGTTTGGGGTTTTCCGGGTTCTCTTCAGGGAAGTGGGGCCTCCGGGCCTTTGGCACTTTGGGATTTCAGGCTTGACGGCTTCCTGAAGGGTTTGGGGTTTAGGTTTTAGGGTTTTTGGCAGAGTCTGGGTTCCAAAAAAGGTTCTACAGTAGGGTTTAGGGTTAAGTTTTCAGAGTCACGACTGCGTTCAGCTCTTTGGCTCTGGCATTTTGGAGAGTCGTATCAGGACAGCCTGGAAAGCCTCACAGCCCAGAGTTCACGGTTGAAGGGCCGATTCAAGAAACCCAAGGCCTGTCAGAGAAGCTTCATGCCGGGAGCGCAAATGAGCGCCGCAGTTTCAGTTCACCCTTCGAGTGATTGAAGACATCATGCAAGCTTTAGACTGGGCTTGCTGTAACTGAACTTGGCATGAAGAGAGCTGGGCACGCGAAGATCACCTTGCCCAAGGGCCTTCGACACTTCGAGACGGGACGGTAAACAGATCGCAAGAGAAACCACAAGCTCGCGACGAAGGACGCCCCCAAATCTAATCAGCTGAGCTCAGGGGGGAGTCGACCTACACGACGGCCTCCAGTAACATGCACATGAATGACCATTTCATTGAAGATCAGCCGGGTCCTCGGCTCTTCTTCCTGTCGTGTGGGGCTTTTCGGTGCTTTGAGCGGGTGCTAGGTCTTCCCCGGTTTTGGGCCCCGGTGACGGTTCTGTGCTCTGCAGTGCTACTACTGTTCTCATTCCCAGGAAGCTGCACTCGAGCTTACCCATCGGCCCTAAACCCTTGAGCCTTGCTATCCAAAGGAGCCCCGAATCTGACCCTGCAGCGAATGGCGATATATGGCAGTTGCAGTCTTCGGACTACGCTATAGACCGACCAAGCTCTGAAGGAGCATCAGTGCTTGAACAGAACCCCTGGGAATGCGGGGCCCGCAATCAAAAAAAACCTCGATGCAGCGCTTGCCTGTAAATGCCGAGGCCGCAGATCCTTCAATTCGGCATGCATTGCGCTGAGGAACCTTTCAGGGCTGAATGGGGTGTAGGGTTAGAGGTTTAAGGTTAATTTAGGGGAGCTCTAGGGGGACTCGAAGCAATCTCCCAAACCTCAATTCCCTGCAGGGCTTCAGGGTTCAACCCTAAAGCTTTTAATTGCATAGCCCGATGCGAGGGAACATCACATGAGTTTCCACCGCGCTTGAGGGTTGCTAGAAGGGTTCTACAAGGGGTTACATCAACTGTTCTGCAGGGGTTCCATGAGGTTTTTAGTGGGTTTTGCTGAGACTTTACATCCAGCTTGCGCGCTGACAGTCCGAGTCGAAGACGGCTTGGAATTTGTAAGCTGGTAGTCCTTAAAGGGATCTATATAAAGCGCCGAAAGGGATCTATATAAGGGTTCCTATAGGGTTTAGGGTTTAGGGGTTTGGTAGTCAACTCGATGTGTGTGGGTTCGCTAAGCCCATCTCCTAGAATCCTGGGGCCTAAACTTTGCACTGTGTGTAATAAAGAAGCCTAAGTAATTACCCATATTGTTCCTTGGGGAGCCTTCTTATGATTATACTATAAAGGAGCCCAACCAGGACCTTCCGATTAACGCCTTCTGCCCCAGGGATAAAGAAGTAACGTATCCTATTGGCTCTTGGGAATTAGAAGCGCAAGGAGTGGCTGTTGGGGGCTCGATTAAGGGGATTTGGAATCTAACATGAATACATCTGAATGATAGCGCACTCGATTTTTTGCCACCGCAGAGTCTCTGCTGTACCGCACTGCAGTCACCATTGCTGAAGCAACGTCTTCTTATGCCACCGAGCACCAACAAAGGAGGCATAGCGATGAAGGACTTGTAGTCCAAGCCCTTGGGGATGACATAATGTCGCCGTCATCTTTATGCGGCCGACCTAGGTTGGGATCGATACAAAATAAGTTGCAAAATTGACAAATTAACCGACCCTGCAGTAAAGCGGCCATATCTTCATCGGCATATGTGTTCGTACGAAGAGGGCTTGTGACAGCCGCTTGATCATAAATAAGGTGTTCTAGCCTCAGACAGATTCGAAAACTCTGGGTTTAGGGTTTAGGGTTTAGGGTTTAGGGTTTAGGGTTTAGCCTAATGAAAGCCTCGTTGTGTCGATCATGGGCTCGCCGCTGGGTGCGCTCGGTGGATCACTGCCGACCTTTGGCTGAAATATGGAGTCAAGCCAAGTAGCCGATGTAGCTTCGGACGAAGCTTGAACAGCAGCTTGGAATGTTGGTGTGCGTGGTGGGCGCAATCTTGGCTGTCACGGTTCAGGGACTGTAGGAGATTCAGGGCCAGCCCTGGTTAATGAAATCTCAGATATGCAGCCGAAGCACAGTTGTAGCTCGCACGAAAAAGGACATAGTGTGTCTCCAGTCTTCGTCTGATTTCTGCTGGGAGGAAGAAGTTGTGACCCGATATCACATCTCTCATCCCTGCCAAATTAAGAAAGATTGCCGCCAAATTCCTCGGTCCCAAACTAATCACTACCCGGCTACCCTAACCCGTCCTAGTTATTAGTCAATTCAGCCAATCAGCAGCCAATAGCATTCAGGATGTGTTCGCGAGAACTTCACGGTGACGGAGCGAAGCCACTTGACCATAACCACGGATTCCTCGTACGTTAAAAATTCAATAGATGTTTCAGACCTTATGCTGCAGACTAGGATTGCAAACGTGGCCAACACAACAAATTTAAGTAGCAGTCGGCACCACTGAGATGCTTCTGCGATAATGTCGGGTATACCCCAGGCGTCACTGACTTCAGAGTTTTCAGCGAGAAAGGCGGCGCTCTGTTTCCTTAAGTTAGCAACAACGTGACATGTCGGGTTTTGGGCTTGTGCACTATAGGCTTTGCATAGCTAGTCCAACCACTGCTAGCGAGTCACTGATGTTTTCCTGTTTGCATGCCTGTGCAAACTCCGTGTAAGCAAGCTCCAACCGGAGCTCTTGAGTTCTGGCTGGCCACGGGCTGTTGGCCAACTTCGTCAGTTCTAGCAGTGCCTCAGGCAGACCGAACCCAATCCCGCCTCGACCCCACCCCGCGAAAGTAATGGCTTCCACGAATCTGAGCCCCCATCCGATGCACAGGCATCAGGAGAAATAGCCAGATCAACCACGTGTAGCCAATCCTCCCATATTCGTTCTACAGCGAAGCCTGGGAGGGCGATCCATGGTGAGTAGCCGCTCTTGGACCGGATAAACTCGGCTGTTGAGTATATCCTTAGGCAGCATGCTTAATGTCCAAGGATCCATCCAATTATCTAGCACGGTAGTAGCTATGGTCGTAGCCGGGTTGCGTTGATCGATGTTGCGCATGGGGTCCGAAGTGCACATATCCCATAGGGGAAGAGCCATCCTTCTGAGCCTGGGTATGTACAATATCTCTTTCTTAGACCGACCCAAGTCCCCCATGAACCGTGTATGCCACACGAATATGCAAGCGAGAATCTGCACACGAACGACAAACGTCTTCACTCGTCCAGTAATTCTCATACTTGTAGCAAGCGTGGAGGTATTTCTGGTCCCCTTTGTGACCCGCGAAAACGAACCGGAAAGGCCCAGCGATTGAACTCCCAGCTTTTGCATAAAGTGCAGGCATATAATGTTCATCGAATTGCCGGCCATGCCAGTCATGATCAAGATATACCCCAGCGGCAGCACACACCAAGCCCCAACAAATCCATTCATCTATCTCTGTTGCGGTCGATTCTCCAGCAGTGCTGTTATCAAAACAACTCAGCAACAACTTATGATCCCAAGTTGCCATACCTGGACCCAACAATGCCGAGGCAACTGTGCAGATGGAAAACGACCTGCGCTTATGCATCTCGGCATCATCGCCGTGACATTCTACTGGGATGATAAAGTTCAACTGTTCCTTCGATAGCCGCGAAAGGAGGGGGTGCTCTTTGAACCAAGTGGTCTGTCGGTTGGCCTCCCAATACTCCGAGAGACTTTTGTCAGGTTCAGGTCCCAACAGCAGCGATTGGAATAGATCGATATCATAAGAATACAAAGAACTCAGCCTCGGCTAAAGTTGTACTCGTGCTGACACCACATGCTAATCGTGAAGCCGAGTTGCCAATCCGGAATCAAAAAAACCGAGTGCGGGCCCAGAAAGTTCGGCTCGTTCTGCTTCCGATCTACCTCAACTAGTTCATGCACATCAATCACAAGTCGATCCTACGAGTCAGTAGCCAATCGTGCAGACAAGTGACCTGGTTGACATGGATCCTAGGGTGGTCAGTTTCGGGTTCCATACCGCTCTACAGCTTAATATTAGGACAAGATTCGTCGTTGGTGGCGGCAATGCTTTCATCCATTTTTGCCGTCGTAACCAGTTACGAAAGTTTCGTTGCACATTGGCATCGGCAGCTGTGCATTCGGCCAATTCCAGGAACTCTTTCCTTATAGGATGAAGCAGATATGATGCGTGCAAATAGGGTGCAATTACACCAATGCAGTTGCAGCTGGGTCTCTCCAAGAAAAGAGGGGGTATCCGCTTGTGCACGGCTTGCACGAAATTTCTAATCGTCTGAACTGATATTCGGCGAGATAATTCCAAAAACTCTTCCATCATCCCGTACACCTCCCCGGCCTGAGCTTCTCAGGTATGTGGGCAATCTGGTTGTATGAGCTCTCTCGGGCCTTGCTGCATTTGGACGGAAGGGTACTCTGGGCCATGGCTATTTCGGACAGGGGTCAACATGGCCTACAAAGCCTAAAGTTCAGTATATATAAAGGTCCTATGTATGCTAGCTGCTAGCTCCATCGATCATCAGAATCGGCAACGGCAGTTGGGATATCAAACTTGGATTAATGAGGAGATTTCACACGAGCGGGTTTCGCGAACATTGGAGGATAGCTTAAGTTATGGGCTCGAGTTTGATAGTGCTCTTTGGGTTGAAATGAAGTGTGTTATAGGGGCTTAGGAGTAAAAGGGCTTAGGGTGCAGGCTTTTCGGGGATCTCTAGTTTGGGCCTCACGGGGATTGGCATGCACATCAGCTTTCGATTGACTGCATGAGTCGATCGGTGAATCGTGCATCGCATGTCATAGAGCTGCGAATACTGGTCGGCCAATCTTTTTTCACAGCGTCGCACTGATCTGGGGTCGAGGTCCTGACGGGTCTAAGCTTTGACTTTCTCCCCAGCAAAGCAGCCGGTCTGACCAGACATAATTAAGGAGGAACAGCATCGTGTGTGTGTGCGCATGATCGCACACAGGGGCCCGGAATTGGTGGGTGGCAACAAGCTAGATCTTCAAGTTGGCTACTTGAGCGTACCTTAAGGCCCACCCCAAAGCCCCAAGGCCCTCAGCCCCGACACCCCAATTAACCCGCCAGCAAACTCCTTATACCCTGACACCGGCTACACATCCTAAAAAAAAGGGTTTAGGGTTCAGGGTTTAGGGTTCAGTAGAAGAAGTGCTAAGTGACAATAAGAGGATGCATGATTCCCAATTTATGTGACCACAACCTTCACTGGCAACCCTTGTGTCGCTGGACCCTCTACAAAGCTTTAGGCCCGAGTCACAGCTAGTAGCCACCTGCAAATCCCAGGTTACTGCATCTACCTTCGATCGACGATCAGGACTCTTTGGCCTTTGATGCTTTCTTATCAGCACCAGTAGTCTTGGCCTTCTTCGGCTTTCGTCGAAGGGCCTCCTTAAGATCATCTTCGATTAAGGCAGCCTTTTCGGAAAACTCTTCGAAGGGAACCTGTAGCTCTGAAGCCTTTGACTTTTCAAACACTTGCTCCATATGCTTGATAACAGCGGGCAGCTCACTTCGGAAGCTCGCCAAGCTATCCACCTCAGGTGGATGGCGTAGGTTACACTGGGGCGGGCTTTTATATTACGTTCTACCAAGACACAAGCTCCTTGTTGTGCTTGCCGGCACCAACATCGCGCACACGCTCCGAGATCTTGGCGGAGTAGCCACGAAACCTTAGTTGGGGAAATGGTTTGTATTTGGGTTGCTTCTGGGGCTCCAAAGGTTTAGCTATGGCACTTTTTGATTAGCTTGTTAAAGTCGTCAACCATCTTGTCATCGCCGGTCAGGACTTTGGCTTCTTTCTTGGGCTTCGCATTCAGCACAATCTTGCCACTCTCTCTATCGAGGAATTGGGTGCTGTCCAGGGCTTTCAACCCAACCTTCATCTGCTCGCTCAAAGCTTTTTTAGCAGCTGGGTCCGAAACAGTTCCAGTCAGGGTCGCAGAAGTCTCACCCCTGTGGCCCCTCCTGTGTTCCTCCAGAATTTCCTTGAGCACACGGTAAAGTCTCGCCTTGGCGATCTTGGGGGCCTGCGGATGTGGAGTCCCCTTTTGCCCTTAGATGGTCAGGAGCAATATCGACATGGATGAGAACATCAGAGGCACAATGCAGTCAAATCCAAGTTGCCTTTGATGAGTTCTTGGATGAATTCCTTGGCTTCCTCACTTTCGCCGAACTCTTTTTCGAGCTGAAAGATAGTCATTGTAACGTACTTGTCGGTGGACAGATTCTCCACCACCTTGGTGTACCTTAGCTATCGCATATCGACCTAGGTGCGGAGGCTTATTTAGGGTTTAGGGTTTAGGGTTTAGGGTTTCCAATTTAGCCTGAAAGCTTTTCTTCCACGTGGATTGCACCAAGGTCCCCATCGTTCAGCATCCACTCCCGAAGCATCTCAAACCTTAGTACGTTGTATACACACAGTACTGTATAAGGTACGGACTGTTCCCATGATCACATAATCAGGCCCCGGAGCTTGCTTGAATCGTCAGCACCACTGAACTTCGCCACGGGGGCTGCGTGCATTTCTCCCTGGCTTTTCAGCTGACGGCCCATGGCAGCGAACTGCCGTTTGCGTTCAGCTCGTGGCATCGCCTTAGATATAACTGCAGCCACCGCCCCAAAGATCTATACAACCCACACACGAAACAAACTCGGTAGTTCAAGGGATCTAGGTATATTGCACACAGGGCACACTGGGCCCGGCCATATTTTTCAAGGCTTCCTTCTGAGCATCGTTCAGCTTGATAGCCCTTGCCTGCACACAACACCCAAATCCTGAATTATACCCTTGATGTGTACCTCGAGCGATTAAACCGCACACCCGCCTCCTGTGGCTTATCCTTAAGCTGGGTAGGCTCTTTGGGCGGGGGTGTGGTAGACGGTTCGGCAGGGCTAGGGCTAGGGGTTGGCACTTCGGTTGGGCTCGGAGACTTCGTCTTTGCAGGCGTCTGGGTGGCATCTTCGGCACCTTCTACGTCGATGCTGGCAACCGTTGCTTGGCGCTCCATGAGCTTGTACGTTCCAGGGTTGAAGAACTTGGCCATGGACCGGGGATTCAGGTTACGCAGATCCGGCTTCTCAGGTTTCTCTCCACTCGCAGGGGCATCTTTTGCACGTGGGGGAGGGGTCTCGGGAGGACTCGGCTCCTCAAGCTTCTGATCACTGTTCGCCTCCTTCCCATGCGTCTTTTCCTTTGGTTCCTTCTTTTCCTTTGGTTCCTTCTTTTCCTTTGGTTCCTTCTTTTCCTTTGGTTCCTTCTTTTCCTTTGGTTCCTTTTTTCCCTTTGGTTCCTTCTTTTCCTTTGTTTCCTTCTTTTCCTTTGGTTCCTTCTTTTCCTTTGGTTCCTGTTTTTCCTTTGGCTTCTTCTTATTGTTGTCGGCTGTGGCTTCAAATAACTCCTCTAGCTCCTCGTCGATATTCTCCTCTGGCACGTCTAGTTTGGCACGCTTCGCTGCCGGTTCGGGCGTTGTCGTCGGGCTTTCGGCTGGCTTCTCGCTGGAATCCTCGGTGCTTTCGGGCTTCTTTCTAAAGTCCTTGGGCTTGTCCTTACGCTTTGGCTCCTCAGCGTTGTCCAGCTTCTTCTCGGCACACTTGGCATTCTTTCCGTTTTGGGCCTTCTCGCTGCGTTTGGTCTTCTTGGCGGCGGGCTCGCTGTTTTGGGGCTTCCTGGAGCTTTCGGGCTCTTTGGCGGGCTTCTCGGCACTTTTGGGCTCTTCGGCGGGCTTCTCGGCACTTTGGGGCTTTTCGGCGGGCCTCTCGCTGTTTGCTGGCTTCTCGTTGCTTTTGGGCTTCTCGCTGCTTTTGGGCTTCGTGCTGCTTTTGGGTTTCTCGGGCTCGGTCGTCTCCTTTGGTTGCTTCAAGCTGGCTTTCTCAGCAGCCACCAGAGCCAGCACAGCTTTCGTAGGATCCCCTTGGTTATCAACCAGAGCTTTCCACGCAGCATCCCTGCAAAATCCCATCTTAACCAACTTCTCCACGCATTTGCTTTCATCAACTTTCTTTCCAGTCTTTCTACGTGGAGCAGCCACACCATCACTGCCGGAGGGCGGCAGGCCCAAGCAGCCACTCTTCCTCAGTGCTATATATATAGCGAGCAGCTAGCAGTATGGCGTGCATGGTGCCAATAAGTTACGAGGCAGCAGGTGCCATAATGGCCTTTTGGGCGACCTTGAAGCTAGACTGCAAAGGGAATAGCTACTTCGCACACACGCAGCACCGATTTCAATAGATGAGGGCCAGACTTCAGACGGTTTCCCCCGATAAGGATCACACTCGCCAGGCAAAATGCCGTGCTGTTGGGCCCAAGTAATGCGACACGGGGTGACACGCTAAGTAACGTGTTCTTGTTATTTCCAAGGGGGGGGGNNGGGGTGACACGCAGGTGACACGCACGCTCGTTTTCACGATTTAGCACAGCATGTCCCGGTTTGCGGTCGCATCTAAGAAACCTTTGTGATCACCGACGGCTTCCAGCCAGCTCGACCCTTCAAAAGATCGTCTATGCAGTCGTCATCACTACCTTCCCCGCTTAAGTCATCCAAGATTGCATCGAAGTCCATCTGGGTGGTCTCGAAGGAGTCACGACGGGCTGCTGCAAACCTTATTTGTTCTAAATTTCGGAGCAATGCTCGTTGCGCTGAAGTGGGTCGCTGGGTATGCACGAAGCTACACGAGAACCAATCTTGGACAAGGCACAGGGACGCAATCGCCATGCCGAAAGACGCGGGGTACTCCTGTGTATTTACCAGATCTCGTCCTCCCACCTGAGATATCGGAATCGTGCTTGGTTCCAGGGCGGTCGGGTTATTTATAAATTAGTTAGCATGATTGGACCCATCTAGGAAACTCCGTACAAGCAAACCCGAATGAACTGCCCTGGGTAGTTAAGCTATATCCCAAACCGCCCCTATCATGCCTTAAGGTTGATTGTTTGGGGTTTGTGACGCTTATGCTTTCATGCTCGGAATCTCAGGCACCAACCAACTCGTGCGACATGTACCACCACGCGAAGATCAAGGCTCGCTGTGGTTTCGTAGCC